AAACGGTAGAAGCAGGCTGTTTTAGCCTGTACACCTGAGTTGATGGCTTCCAGTGACCTGTTGGACTTTGGAGTCAAATTTAACTCACTTTCTGTTGTTTTACACAGATCAGTCACAGGGCAGAGTGTTTCACCAGATCTCACCTTTACAACAACAATACCATTTCATACAGCCTATTTCACTGACAGGACTCATGTCGAGATTTCTACATGAATGCCTCTAAAAGGTAAAGAAGCAGGCTGTTTTAGCCTGTACACACTGAGTTGATGGCTTCCGTGACTTGTTGGACTTTGGAGTCAAATTTAACTCACTTTCTGTTGTTTTACACAGATCAGTCACAGGGCAAGTGTTTCACCCGATTTCTTCTCTATAACAGAAATACCATTTTGATACACCCATATTTCACTGAACAGACTCGCTTGCTTCTCAAGCCGAAGCGCGTGTGGAAAGCTCCTTTTGTGGACTTTATGAGCTAACAGCCACCTAATAAGTTCTAAATGGAGTTTAATACCAAAATACAACTGTATGATGGATGTGGGACGCTGATTTGAGCTGTTGTGGTTTGGGCCCTATGTGGCCCCTGAAAAAACTAGCTTGGGAAAGGCGGCAGAAGGTTGAGATTCAAGATTCTTGATGGGTTGTCTCTGTGAGTCTTCTGGGTAAGTTTGAAGCCATTTGGAGCTCAACTCAGAAATTTCTACATGAAACCTCTAACGGTAGAAGCAGGCTGTTTTAGCCTGTACACTGAGTTGATGGCTTCCAGTGACCTGTTGACTTTGGAGTCAATTTAACTCACTTTCTGTTGTTTTACACAGATCAGTCACAGGAAGAGTGTTTCACCAGATCTCACCTTTACAACAAACATACCATTTTCATACAGCCATATTTCCTGAACAGGACTCATGTAGAATTTCTACATGAAACCTCTAAAGGTAGAAGCAGGCTGTTTTAGCCTGTAAACACTGAGTTGATGGCTTCCGGTGACTTGTTGGACTTTGGTCAAATTTAACTCCTTTCTGTTGTTTTACACTGAGTCACACAGGCAGAGTGTTTCACCAGATTTCTTCTCTATAACAAGAAATACCAATTTGATACACCCACATTTCACTGAAAAGACTCGCTTGCTTCTCAAGCCGAAGCGAGTGTGTAAAGCTCCTTTTGTGGACTTTATGAGCTAACAGCTTACTAATAAGTTCTAAATGGAGTTTTAATACCAAAATACAACTGTATGATGGGTGTGGGACGCTGATTTGAGCTGTTGTGATTATTGGGCCCCTATGTGGCCCCTGAAAGAACTAGCTTGGGAAAGGCGGCAGAAGTTAGATTCAAGATTCTTGATGGTGTTGTCTCTGTGAGTCTTCTGGGTAATTTGAAGCCATTTGGAGCTCAACTCAGAAATTTCTACATGAAGCCTCTAAACTAGAAGCAGGCTGTTTTAGCCTGTACACACTGAGTTTGATGGCTTCCAGTGACCTGTTTGGACTTTGGAGTCAATTTAACTCACTTTCTGTTGTTTTACACAGATCAGTCACAGAAAGAGTGTTTC